CCCCAAAACCCCAAAACCCCAAAACCCCAAAACCCCAATATAGATAGTAGCGATTGATTAGTATAATAAATCTGCTTTAAAATGGCAATGCATGTTAGCGCACTTGATCGCTATAGAAACGGTAGCTTTTGTAAGCCTAAACCCTCTAACTCTTAGCTGAGGCCTCCTATGACCATAAAGATGAGGATAACTACAACACGCAAAAAGTGGCTGATTACTACTATAACGATGAAGAGGTTGATCAAGAAAATGGGGAGCAAGACTACTATTCCACTCCTGTTGAGAATGATCACTATGTAAGTATCTGTTGCATTCTTATTGCTGACAGTCCAGCATATTTTGTTCTAGCATGCTTATTCATAATTTAGGGTTACCCACAAGAAGAGCCTGCTCATGACAAGTCTCCCTATGATTACCCAGCTGAACCTGAAGAGAAAGAAACTCCTTCTTACCCAGTAATGCAAGAGGAACAGAAGGAGACCGGAGGATCTCTCGAAGAGAACAAAGTCGCTCCTATGGCTAGCAGCGGCAACAAATCAAATGACATTACCAGACCGATCATCGAGTACGACCCGAATGCTAAAATTACGGTCTCTGAGCCAAAGAAACAATCTAGTGGTGTAGTTGGAAACCACACTGAGTACAGGGTCAAGGGGAACAACTCTGCAGGAGATTTCGATGAGAACAGAAGATATAAGGAATTCTACAGTCTTAGAAATCTTCTTAGTCAGAACTGGCCTGGGTTCTTCATTCCTGCTATTCCCCCAAAAGTAAAGATCGGGAATATGGACAGCGCTGTAGTACAAGAAAGATGATATCTATTCAATAGGTTCATGAAGGAAATCTCTGAGACACCCCATTTCTGGGAATCTGACGAAGTAAAGACGTTTATCAAGCCCAATATGGGAGTTGGTCAAGCTCTCTCCCTTATAGCTGCTCCCACTGCTGAAAGTATTTTCGAAAGAGTTGTCAACACCACTGGAATTAATCACGAAGACATTGATGATAGTAAAGTAAACAGATATACAGACTCTATCAGAGAGTTTGTGCTCAGCAGTAAGGACATCTTCCCCCTCTTGGCCAAATTTAAAAACTGCATTACCCAACTAGAGAAGCAGAGAAGGTACCAGCTGGATGCCTACAAAGAGTTCTCTGAGTTCTTAAGCCAATATGAAAGTACAACTATGAATATTTACTCAAGCGAGTCTATTCAGGGACATTACAAGATGATCTCAGATACTGACAACAACACTATGAGGGCCCAGATCGAAGCTCTATCCGAAAAGATCGATAACCCCTTCATTAGATTTAAATACTGGGTCAAGGAAGAAATCATCGATCTACATTCTCTTCTTCAAGCTATCGGTCAGAAGAACTCGCTCGAGAGTAAGAAGCATAAGCTCCAAGCAAAGATTAAGACAGCTAATTCCGAACTAGAGAAGCTAAACTCTGGTAAAAAGACGTTCAAGACACTATTTAAGTCCCAATCCGGCAAGGCGAGTGCTATCACGAACTTGACCACGTTCATCGCACAGGCTGAAAAAGACATAGAAGTTTACGATAAATTAGTCAAGGTCGTAACAGTCCATCTCTACGAAAGAGTGATCCCCACTTTCAAATCGACCAAAGTGAAAGGCTATGTGTCCAGTCTAAAAGAGTTCTCAGACTCTGAGAGCAAGAACTCGAATGAGCTGTACAGGTGTTGGAGCTCAGTGCTGCAACAAATCCAGCAAACATTTGAAAGATCCTCCTAACCTATTTAAAGCTTAGTTTGAATTGAAATACCTTCTGTGTTCTATCTCGAGTGGGATCAAGGGGTTTTGGGGTTTTGGGGTTTTGGGGTTTTGGGG